TTGGGTAACAGAAGAATTCTGAGCAAACCTGTCCGGGCCACCTTTTGTCTGTGCGTGGATAGGGAGTGAATGTTTGTAGAATCTACTTTTTTGTGTGTGTGCTTACAAGTAAAAGAGTTCAGGCCCTGAGCTTCAGTCTGCTTTGTTTCAATACTGAAATGTTATTTTAAAAAAGACTTTAGTGGACATAGTTTTGAAACTCCTGCTCTCCGATTCTGTCACTTGGCAGATGGGATATACTGATGAATTCTACAAAGATTTGGCCCTGTGCAGGAATGAAAATAAAGTAACACGTGTGTGTGTGTGTGTGTGTGTGTGTGTGGGTTGGTTGGCGTGGGATTTCTCTTGTCCCTGGCTTTTATGTTTCATTTGGCTAGAAACTTGCAGACTCTGAGGATTTCCAGGGCAGGATTGAGGACAGAGTGGATGGCGGACCAACTATTCTGTTTTACTTTATAAAGTGTGCGATTTCTGTTAAGCTAGAAAAAGCTTGAAAAGGGAGAAAAAAGTAAATAGCAGTCAGAGCCATACCAGGTAATTAAGTACCTTGTTAACAATTCTGTATATTTTCTCTCTGATCACAGTCTTTTTTATGTGAGCATGCATATAGCTTTATAGATTTGTGCTCTGGATCTTCATATTTCTGACCCATGGATCATCATGAATATATTTAGATTTAACTTTTTTTTTTTTTTTTGCCGTTCCTGGGGATTGAACTCAGGGCTTAGATACTGTCCCTGAGCCTCTTCGTGCTCAAGGCTAGCTAGAGCTATACTACCTGAGTCACAGCACCACTTCTAGCTCATTCTGACTAGTTTATTAGAGATAAGAGTCTCATGGACTTTCCTACCCCTGACAGGCTTTGAACCTGGATCCTCAGATCTCAGCCTCCTGAGTAGCTAGGATTACAGATGTGAGCCACTGGCACCTGGCTTCAATCTCGTTTTTCGTATACCAGTCAATAGAGTGAGGTTATCCAGTCTCAAAGATTACCAAATTCTTATACGCTTGGAAAGTTTACATTCATTCATGGAGGATGAAGTAGATCTTACTAGTGACTCTTCTCTTTTATATTTTTCTTTTTTTTGTGCCAGAACTGGGACTTGAACTTTGGACTTCCTACTCTTGTTTAGCTTTTGTGCAGTAGGCACCTCCACACCTCCACTTCTGGATTTTTGCTGTTTAGTTGGAGATGAGTCTCTCAGAACGTTAATCCTCTGATCTCAGCCTCCCGAACAGCTAGGATTACAGGTGTGAGTCACCTTGGCCAGGCTGTGATGGAATCCAGCGTGATGCACTGGAGTGTAATGCGGCGAGTTTTATTCTTGTGCCTGGCAGGAATCCTGCTATTTTTCTGTGAGCGAGTTTTCTAGAACTGGCATTAACTAGACTTTAAAAAAAATAATACATGGATAATTGTATAAGATTTTTCTCAGTTTCTGTCCCCGTTTTCCATTTGAGTTTGTGGTTCCTTACAGACTCCGCGAGTTCTGAATGACATTGATCATTCTAATTTCTGCTAATCAGCTGGTAAATAACATCATCTCATTATTGTTTTAATTTGCATCTCCCTGGTTGTTAATGAGCTTAGGCATCTTTTCATATGTTTATTGGATATTTGTCTTCCCTCTGTGAAAGCAGAGGTGGTTTACATGCATTTGGCATAGTGGGCAAAATAATCATAACCTTGAAAATCTGATGGGTTTTAAAGAACCAGGATGAAGGGCACATCTTACATTCCTGTTCTCAGGGTTGTCATTTCTGGTTTACCCTAAAGTATGGTATGGAAGCATAATGATTTGATAAACCCCCAGACTTTATGTCCTTGTTTCCCATTTTTATAGTGTGGCTGTTATAGTAACCTAGCTTGCTGTTAAGCAGTCGCTTATTAGTTTTAGGATATGCCTTCAAAGTGCCAGAATGCCTCCATTGGCAGATTCTAAGGACATCCGACTGGAAAAGGCTACAGCTTATAAAATTTGGGATTTGTGGTATATGTCAAGGAATCAAATACTGGAGTAGCAATGTAAAAAAAAAAAAAGAATATACTGGGTACAGTGGTTCAAGCCTGTAATCCAAGCTACTCAAGAGGTTGAGATCAAAGCTAGCCCAGGCAGACAAATCTGAGGGATTCTAATCTTTAGTTAACCAGCAAGAAGTCCCAAGTAGAGATGTGGCTCAAATAGTAGAGTACCAGCCTTGAGCAGAAAAACTAAGCCAGGGCAAGAGACTCGGAGTTCTAAGTCCCAGTACTGGCACACAAATAAATAAAAATGAACAGCACCGCTTGGGGTGATATTGATCAAGCTTCTGGAGGGGGTAAAGTATCGTATAGGGTACTCTTACTTATCAGAAAAACATCTTAGCAGTGTTAACCAAGCTTTGCGGTGCATGCCCAGGAAATAAACACCCCGGCCCATTGAAGAGAGTTCTTGGCTTGAGTGCCCATGGCCCCCACCAGGAGCTGAGCTGACCGTATGCCCTGAGGGGACAGAAAGGCAGCTGCCAGGCTGAGTTGCCTATGCCAAGATTTAATGTCTTGGGCCAAGGGAACCAAAGTGCCCTCCCCACACAATTCGTGTTCAGTTCCATTTGGAATACACCATGTGCCAAATCTTGGTCCAGGCACAAGAAAAGACATTGACAGTTTGGATGGGGGCCAGAGGCAGGCACTGCTGTGATTAAGGGCTTACAGGCGTGACATTTGAGCCGGGGCTCAAAGAACTGCATATTTACAGCAGGGCTAAATGCTGGATTACGTGGCTTGGTGACGTCGGGGCCTGTGGCTACACCCCTACGTTATCTTCCATCTGACCTGTTTCCCAGAAGCCAAGGAGAGCCACTCCTGAGAGGCTGGGGGCAAAGGCTCTTGTGTGCGCCCATCTGCCTGCAGATGAAGCCAGGCCCTGCTTCTAGCTCTCAGGTTCCAGCTTCTGTAGCACTCAGGGCGCCAGGATTCAGGTAGAGAGTTCTCATTCAAAGTGGGAAACCAGGAGCCACAGCCTGTCTACGAAGGGGAGACCTCCCGTCTCGACTCAGCTTCTTCCGCAAGGAACAAGCACAAAGCAGAGCACAGCCCTCCTCCTTGGCAGATCAGACGCCCATGATTCATTTGACCATCCGTAGCTCACTTGTAGCTCTTATTTCCTGCTGCTAGCCTCATGGTGCTGGACTTGGAGACCACTTCCAAGAGTAGATGTGGAGGAGTCGGGGCCAGGTGACAGCAGAGCAAGGACTCATTCTGAACTCCTAGTAAGAAAAGGGCACCGTCAACGAGGTTGTTTTTGGTCTCAGCCACCACTTTGTTCTGCAGGCGTGGCTTATGTGTCCACATGCACACAGCGATGCTGTGAGGCAGCCTTAGAACCTGCTACCTGATCGACGGGTGCATCACTAACTCTGCTTGGCTCTTCTGCCCACTTAGAGTCATGAAGAGGTGATTTTCTTTACTCTCTAGTTTAGTTCCATAAATCACTCCTCTGCTTGCAAAAGCTTCTGCCTGCATTATTGGATTTTAGGTGACCACGGTTGAAAACACTTGTAATGCCCTAGAAGTCACTCGGAAGGTCAGTTGAAATTCCTGGACTGATAGTTGGCATTACTGAGCCCTAGCTTTTTGTTTACTTTTGCTTTCTTCCCATTGGTCTGGCATGCCAGGTCTGAAATACTTGGGAATGATTTGATTCTAGTAGAAATAATAAAGCCTTGAACCCTACGATAAGAAAATCAGCATTTTTGTCCCAGTAAGGAAACTTCATGCTCATTGAAGAGTATGGTGTATTGAGATATTTGACAAGCAGGATGAACACATTAGAATCTAGTCTGTTTGCATGTGGACAGGTCGTGGGGAGAAGCACAAGGGCTTATTTTGATTCCAGCTCCTTATCTGTGTAGTCTCAAGGAGTTTGCAAACAAATGAAGATATAACTTTAGTTTCTTAAGGATTCATTGCTGCCATATTTGAAATTCTGGATCTATCAGGGACAGGTAGCATCATCTATTCCACCACCTCCAGGAGTAGGAGGGGCAGACCTAGTTTCCCAAATGGAAATTTCTAGACATCTAAGAAACCATGGTGAAAGAAATGAGGGGCTTTGGAACTAGAAAGGTCCAGAACAGCAGCATCTGGCCCCGGGGGCTCCTTCCTCATGGAAGAAAGGGCCAGGGCAGTCAGTAACTGGCATGTAGTTAGTGCTTATAAGTATAAATTCTAGATGGTTCTTTACTGTTTGGGAGACTGAGGCTGCTCAGTGGCTGGGCAGCCTACCATGGGCACTGATAATGTTAGGGCCGATGGCTGGTGCCCTGACCGCTGGGTTTTCCTGCTGAAGTCCTTTAGTTCATGGTAACAGCAGATCCTCTCCATACTCCAAACATTCCTTCCTGCCTACCATGGCTCATAGACTCTGTGTGTATGTGTATACACATGTGTACCCATGTATGTACGTTGTTCTTGGAGCTCCAACTCAAGGCCTAGGCACTGTCCTTGAGGTTTTTTTTTTTTTTTGCTCCAGGCTAGCAATGCGACCACTTGAGCCACAGCATCACTTTGGCCTTTTTAATTTTTTTGTTTTTTTATTATTTTGGTGCTTATTTGGAGGTAAAAGTCTTATGGACTTCATTGCCTGTGCTGGTTTTGAACCATGATCCTCAGATCTCAGCCTCCTAAGTAGCTACGATTACAGGCATGAACTACCATCGCCTGGCCTTCATAGGCCTTGTTATCATGATGATTGTTATTTTGTCACCGTTCTGATATTAATTATGAGGACAATTTAGAATTCAGGTGATTCTGAACCTTCCCTGCCTCCCCTGACTTCTTATTCTGGGGGAACATGGGATGGACTAGTGCTGGGGATAGAACCCAGAGCCTTTCTCATGCTGAAACACACTCTACCACTGAACTGTCCTGTCAGCACCAGACAGTGTCCTGTTAAGTTCAAAGAGCAAAGTGCTCTGTATTCTGTGCTAAAGAACTACCCTTCCATTGATCTTTGCAGGTACGAACTCAGCACTGGAGCCTGATTATGGAGAGCGTGGTCCCATCTGACAAGGGCAATTACACCTGCGTGGTGGAGAACGAATATGGAGCCATCAACCACACGTACCACCTGGATGTCGTCGGTGAGTAGGCATTGCTTCATGGGAGCTCTCTGCCACCCGACTGTTCTAGGCTGACTCATTCAACGCCATCAAAGTGAGACTTGTTTCTCCGAAATTTAAGGAGTCTTGGCTTGCTTTTTGTTCTTTCTAGAAGGTACTTGGCAGTGTAATATTTCCTGATGAGCCAGTTATTATTTTTTAAAATGAGCTTGGTAGGATCCTCTAGGTTCCCAAACATCATCTTTATAAGGTACATGTGGTATAAAACATCTTGACATCCTGGAAACTGAGATTATTCTGAAAAAATGCGAGTGGGCAGGGAAGGGGAACTGAAGGGGAACTATGCCATGTGGCTGTAGGGGCAAGGAAGAGATCTTGCATTGACGGAGACCATAGCTGGCTAGAAAATGGGGCATTGTCTAGGAGAGTTGTTAGAGACTGCCCGTTTGGTGCATGCTCCTGGACGGTGTTTTGTCTGTGAAAGGGGACCACAGGTATGAGTTGATGAATACCTTTGGGTTGGAGCGCACAGCTAATTAGGCATTTTTGTTGAACATCTTCAGATCATGTCACCTGTAGTCTTAGAAACACCAATTAATTCCCAAGTTTTTGCCTGTTGTGGCTTGTTGTTGTAAGTGGTCATATACCACACCTTTCGCCCTACTCCCATCTTTGGGCCCATGTTTTGAGGTACCTGATTGGTCTGCCATTTTCTGTGTAGAGGTTACTGACGTCTAAAGATTCTGCTGAAAGCTCACAGGAATCCAGTTTTTGGTCCTGTGACTTGGTAACACTGTACACACATGCTTACCTACCCTCTGTGCACGTGGGAAGGCTTTTCTACATCATGCAGTGTGCACGGCCCCTGGTATTCTCTCACTTGAGGGTAGTTCTGGTCTTTCCACAAGGCATAAAACTCTTCAAAGAGACAAATTCTAAGACACCTGAACTGCCCTAAGAAAGATTAAAAACCTTTCTAGCCTATCTATCGTAGCTGCTTAGGAGGCTGAGATCTAGGATCATGGTTTGAAGCCAGTCTGGGCAGGCAAATCTGAGAAACCGTTATCTCTAGTGAACCAGCAAAAAGCTAGAAGTGGAGGTGTGTCTTAAGTAGTAGAGTGCTTCTCTTGAGTGGAAAAGCTAAGCCAGACATGAGGCCCTGAGTTCAAGCCCCCTGGTATTTTCTCTCTCTGTCTCTCTATCTTTCTGTCTGTCTGTCTCTCTCTCTCTCCTCTCTCTCTTTCTCACACACACTAAACCTTTCCCAAAACTGGACTAACTGAAAGGCATCAGTTTGGTTAACTTAAGATTTAGATTAAAGTAAAAATTAAAACAATCTGATTTTCTATCAAGTGAAGGTAAATGCTCTGCTTCAGAAAGCGGGATATAGTCCTCAAATAGCATAGAAGCATTCTTTACAAAGAATATTTACTTCAACCTTTGAGTTGTTCAAATGACTGAATATGAAGTTTGCTTAAGTCTTCATATAAAGTCTAGTCTAGGAAGTGGCATTGTAGCTCAAGGGGTAGAACACTAGCCTTGAGCCGAAGAGCTGAGGGACAGTGCTCAGGCCCAGAGTTCAAGCCCTACGACTGACAAAATAAATAAATAAATACATACATATATACATAAAAATAAAGTCTAGTCTACACTATTCATAAAAGTATGAGTCTCGCCAGGCATTGATAGCTCATGCTTGTAATCGTAGCTACTCAGGAGGCTGAGATCTGAGGATCGCAGTTCAAAGCCAGCCTGGGCAGGAAACTCCATGAGTCTCTTCTCTCCAATAAAACCACTCAGAAAAACCAGAAGTGTTGCTGTGGCTCAAGTGGTAGAGCACTCGCCTTGAGCTGAAGAGCTGAGGGACAGTGCCCAGGCCCAGAGTTCAAGGCCTACGACTGAAGTATGAGTCTTAGAGCCATTTATTCCTTTTCTCATAGAGATATTTGTGGTATGTTGTTGAGAATTACTAGTTCAGATATGAGAAGCGAATGACTGTCATGAATTTTCAACACTGATACATTAGAAATCCGCCAATTGGAGGGCGTGTGGTTTGCAATGTCTTTGGGCTGTGTGTACCAAATTTGGCATGAAGGGTTTCCACTTTAGGAAAGAAATTTAGATCTATGCTTAAAGCTCTAAAAACCTGATTTTGAAATTAAGTAATTTATTGAGGGCGGTGGGGGGGCCGTGGGAGGGGGAGATATTGTGCTGTAGCAATCTTCTGGGGTTCTACCTTTCCACAGGTCTGTACATTGTTCATTAGCATTGATTGGGGCCAGGCCAGGAATTGGGAGTCAGGTCTGGGCTGCTCCAGCCCTGGGCTCTGGCTTGCAGCAAGTTTTAGACTGAGTTGTTATGTAAAGCATTCAAAAGCCCCTCACCCCACCTCCCCTTTGAGCTTTCTGGCAGTTCATTCCTATGAAGCCCTGAAATCTCTTTTCGCGTTTAGGGTTGGGATTTGAATTGGGCTGCTGAATAATGGAATTGTGCTGTCTAATGCTAATCCTCTGGCAATCAGTCTTGTTGAAAAGAGCCTATGATTCAGCGGGGCAATGCAGAGTGAGCATGGAGTATGTGGAGTAATGCCGAGGCCTGGTTATGTCACACATTTGGGAGATGGCCCAGCATAACGCCGGCCAATAATGACACAATGCTTGTTGGGAATATCCATTAAAGCTCAAGTCTAATAATTTTCCAAGCCTTGAACCTTCTTTATAAATAGAAGCCAGAAGTCAGTGGAGTCTAAGACATTTTCAGTAAGAATGGAGGTGGGAAATACTCTCATCTTTGCTCCAAAACCCTAGTAATTGCTTGGAGAAGCGCTCATAAAACAAGAATCGAGTCAGCTGAAGAATCCCCTGCAGACTTGCAGTCATCTGATCATCTCTGTAAGGGGAAAGGCAAAGGCTTCAAACTTCAGCAACACATTTAATAAATCAAATTTAATATACCACCACGTGGTAGTAGCTTCTTACCTATCTCTCTCTTGCTCAGCAAATCAGAAACTGCCCCATGAAAATGAAGTCCTGCTCTTAATTCATTCTCTCTGGTTTTATTTTTGTTGCTATGATACATAGATTTGTGGTTCAGATACTAGAAAGCATCAAAATGGGTGAGATCTTTTTATTGAAATTCTTCCTCGGAAAGGCATCTCTATAAGCACTTTAATGCGAGAGGCGTGTAATTTAAGTGACATTCTTGTGTTCTGGAATTAAACAGCAAGCCATTGTTGTACGTGAGGGGAGTTGATATTGTTTGCGGGAGCCCTTTTAGGGGCCTTGCTTGAGCCTCATTAAAATTGACACCATTACTTTTCAGCCATTTACAGCAAGGGAAAATTAGTGCGAAGTTCCACATCGCAGTAATTGCGACAGTAATACAACAGGCTGCCCTCAAGTAGCTAGAGGGAGGTGCTAAGTCTTTGCCTTGGTCCATCAGTGATTGTTGTTGAAGCCTTGGATCTGATGGGGCCCTGCCAGCAATAAAGCTGCGCCTAGGATAAGTCATTAACTCTTCTCACTTTCCTTGTATCTGATCGTGAGCTGAGGCCCATGCGTATTAGAAACAAAAGTGGCTTGATATTGTGACAAATGCCCGGAGCCTGGCAGAAGGCGTACCTGGTTACCAGGTGCTTTGGGACTTGGTCGTTTGCTTTGTTGAGCCGCTGATATTATCATCAGGACAATTAATTGGAATGATGATCCTTATTTCATTCCCAGGAGGGTTGTATGAGCTTCCTTGAGCTGCTGTAACAAATAACCCCAAATGGATTTTTTTTCTTTGAGTGTTAGTTTTTAATAACTTTTATTGGCCTCAACCTGAAGTCTTACTAACCAAACCAGGCCATGTTGTCAGAGGCTGACTTTCCTATTTTCTGCTGAGGTCTGCATCTCTAACTTTGTCACTGACGCCAGCCTGGACTGGCCTGGTTGCTGGGTTTACAGAAGAGGATGGCAGAGTTGGGATGCTTCATGTTGGGTCTATTTACCCCTGCCCCTACCCTTCACTCTTTTATAGCTGAGGATGGCTGGGTCCAACAGGGGCTGAGTGCTTTGTGAAAGGAGTTGGAAAAAACATTTTTCTCTGTGGTGTGTGTGTGTGTGTGTGTGTGCGTGCACACGCACGTGCATGTGTGCATGGGTGTATGTGCCTGTAGTGGGTCTCAAACTCAGGACCTTGTGGTTTTGTTTGGCTTGTTTTGTGCAAGGCTGATATTCCACCGCTTGAGCCATGCCTCCACTTCTTATAATTATTATTGGCTGATTAGTTGGCGATCAGCGGCTCTCAGATTTGTCTGCCAAGGCTAGCTCTGAACCTCAGTCCTCACATTTCAGCCTCCCCAGTAGCTAGGATTACAGATGTGAGCCACCAAGCCCATTTTGGAAAAGGCATTTGAGCTGAGGTCTCAGTCTAGGGCCTCTTGACAGTGATTCAGAAGCCTGGTTGCTTTTTTTCACTCCCAGAGACTGGCTTTGCATTTACACCCTGTCCTTCTTGGACTGGTCACTCCAGAAACCGTCCAGTAGCTAACCAGTGACTTTCCCGCCTGGCACTGGGTATCTGAGGACACAGAGTACCATGGAGGTAGAAATGGAGCCTCTAGATTTGCCAAGGCCAGTCATGTTCTCTCCATCGGTTTACCTTTCCAGAAACTCATGTCTCGCCCCAGAGTGAAAGCTGCCAGCCCTGACTTGCTTAGAGGCAGCTGGCAATGGCTACCCGTTAGCCCTTTCCATAAACCCTCTGCAACTCTTGCTCGGGACATGACGGGACTCAGCCTAGCAGCATGAAGAAACCTGCCCGGGTGATGCCCCCCTGGGGGTCTGAGTGAGGAGTCCCTTCTCCCCAGTGCCCTGGGTGAGCTCGCTGACACCTGGCCCCATGCCTTTGGCAGCCCATCCCCAGTGGGAGAAGAAATTTCACAAAGCGCCCCCCTCCCCCTCTTTGGGAGTGGCCAAAGTCCTGGGGGAACAAAGGCCCAGCGTGCTCACTGAATCAGGGGAAGGGACAGAGGGTAT